CATCCTGCTGGAATCAGAGGTTGTGCAAGTACATGTCGTCTTATAGTGGCCACAATAAAATCCGCTGTTATCATCTTCATCTTAAAAAAAGTTACTTCTTTGGAAGCATTGGCTTTTCTAAGACATGTGGATTTTCAGAACCCCAAATCCTACAGTTCTGCTTGTCAACGCAACTCCCCAGATGGAAATGGGCATCGTCCGAAAAGATGATTTGGCGACCAGAAACATAGAGAAACGATGGTCATTTTGTTTCAACTTTTGCACAAGTTGACCTTGTCGGAAATAATCTCAGGTCGTTAAGCACAGAAGTGCGACTGATGCCTACTTGTTGTGCCCTGTGACGAGTTGACATTCTTGCGTTTTCACGCTCACTCAGGGCAACAGCAGCAATATTTTCGGCTGTACGTACTGGTCGAACACGCGCATACCTTCTGTTATCCACAAGCAGGCCACTTTCACGAATTTTCGTATACCAGTCTAGGACGGGGCTTCATTCCGACCAAATAGTCTTCTCAATTTTCGCAAAGCTTCTGCAACACATCACTCACCTTGAAAGTAGTTTTTAATTATTTCCCACCTTTGTTCAAGATTAAAACAATCCAATGCTCACTGCGGAAGTTTGACACAATATATCTGTCAATATGTTGAGCATGGAGGTGTTACCAACTATCAAAATAATACCTACTTAAAAAAAACAACTGATGACCCACCCTTCATTTAGATATAGAAATAGAACGGTATACCATATAATGGTAGGGAGGTAGAGTGAAAGAATGTTCAACTGTTATACCAGAATTTGAAGATGAGTATGTGCATAGACTGTAAAGAAAAAATAGAAATTGAAAGGCGTATTACCTTCTCATGCATGATGTGAGTGCCCAATTAGGTGAATTAGAGAGGAATATAATCATACTCCATAGGGCTTAAGTTAACAGCATACGAACTCCCGTCCAATACGTGTAGCTATTATACAAAGTAAGCTTCATAGAAAAAGCTCAATCCTCCTAAACGTACAGGTATTCAAATCTATGGTTAGCGCTACTTATAGTTTGACTTGGTTCAGGTGCTGAATGTCGCTTGCTATCTACTTCATCTGATGATAACTGAACACTAGTCGTTCTATTCACTTGTCGCCGCATCTCCAGGCATATGGCGCTAATTTAAACGTCGCGCGCTGGTGCTTGTTGTGACGAGACGCAATTGACAGTTGAATACATTATAAAGGAAAAATATACACCCGTGCAAGTCTTACGTTTTTCCTATACAGTCTTGAAATATCCATGCAAGATGTGTCAGATACCCTAAGCACTAAGTTTTGAACAGAAACTTATTCTAATTGTAGGATTAGCTTGAGTATTTTTGCCAGTCTTTAAAAGTCGCATTTCTTTGATTTTTTTTTTTTTTTTTTTTAACGAGGGGGGAATGCATTTACGCACCATACCATAGCACGAGCTACGGCGTGTGTGGGGCTCCAGGGTCTTGAGGAGATCACCTAATACCCACTAAACCCTAAACCTCCGCGTGGCCCGACTCATCAGCGTCTCGGTAGGCCATGTGTTGTGCGTGACCTGCGGTCTGCTACAACGTCTCCTCATGTGTTTCAGTCTCTGGGAACGCCGGGTTGGTTCCCTTTACCTCGCACATTCTATCGATGTCGTTAAGCGATCATCGATAGAGGGTCTGCTAGTTTCTCTTGAAACTCTTGTTTTCGAAAAATCAAGAGTTTCAAGTCCTCTTACCAATATGTTGTTCCTGGTCCTGGTCCTGAAGGGTCCTGGTCCTGGTGGGTCCTGGTCGTGGCGGGTCCTGGTCCTGGTTGGTCCTGGTCCCGGTGGGTCCTGGTCCCGGTGGTTCCTGGTCCTCTGCATCCACGCCGTGGGGTGGGGGGGGGGAGCAGCCGCAAGTTCTCCTAGTCTCCTAGTCAAGGTTCCAGTTAGCGGGTGCCAACTGGGACCTTGGTCTGGGGTACCTGGTTCTGCGGTTGCGAGGCCTCTCGTCCGGATCGTAGTCCATGAGGAATCGTAGCTGCTCGTTCGGGTGGTCCTGAGCTTTCTCGAAGGTCTTCTCCGCTTTTTTCCTCATGTACTCGTGGATGGTATCCCAATGCAGGTCTCTACGCAAGGTTGAATTCCTTACGTAGGAAGGTGCATTGGTGGCGATCCGGAGTAGCTTCAGCTCTAGAGCAGCAAGTCGCTTACGGTAGCTGGGGGCAGCGTACCCCCAGACCGCGGAGGCGTAAGCGAGCTGAGGTCTGGCGATGGCCTTGATCAGCCGTAGCTTGGTCGCTAGCGGCATCTGGCTGTGTCTACCCAGTAATGGATAGAGTTGAGCCATGGCTGCTCTGGTTTTTGCGATGACAGCTTCTATGTGCGCTTTCCAGGTGAGGGACTTGTCAAAAACGATCCCCAGATATTTGACATTGTCGCTCCACTGGATATCTTCTTCGAAGATGGATGCTTCGAGAGGTCTTGCAATCCTTCTTCGTTGAATGAAGATTGCCTGCGTCTTCTGGACGTTGATGCGGATTTTCCATTTCACGCACCAGTCCTGAATTTGGTCCAGTTCATCCTGTAGTCTCCTACGGATGATCTCGGGTCGTCTATGCTTGGCGGCTATAGCAGTGTCGTCTGCATATAGGGCCAGCATTGTGTCAGCTGTCTTCGGCACATCGTAAGTATAGATGTTGTAGAGCAGGGGGGCTAAGGCTGATCCCTGGGGCACGCCTGCTTCCAGCTGTCGTCTTGTTGAATGACATGTACCAATCTTCACCGTGAACCATCTTTGTGTTAGATAGCTCTGGATTAGTTGGCACATGTTCGCATCGATTCCGGCGGCTTCCATTTTGGCGATGAGTCCATCGTGCCAAACTCGGTCGAAGGCTCGTTCCACGTCCAGCAGGACGAGACCGGTTGCCTCCTGGAGATTGAAGCCGCTGGTGATGTTTTCTGTCAGTCGTAGCGCTTGGAGTTCCGTGTTGTGCGAGGATCTGAAGCCGAATTGCTCTGGGGGGAGAAGTTGCAGTTCTTCTGCCTGCTTCTCTAGTCGAACGGCGATAGCCTTTTCGACTACTTTGCCCATCGAGGAAACCAGGCTGATGGGCCGGTAGCTCTGGGGCAACTTCCGGTCCTTGCCTGGCTTGGTGAACATTATAACCTGGGCTTCCCGCCACCGCCGCGGGAAGTGGTTAAGTCTCAGGGTGGCATTGGCGAAGTTGGTGAGCGCAGCAATGCCTTTGGTGGGAAGGTTCTTCAGCATCCTGTTGTTGATGCCGTCCCTTCCCGGCGCCTTTCTGACCTTCAACCTGCGGATGATCAGACGGATTTCCTCTGGACTGGAGGGGTGATCCGTCTCCTGGCCAGGTGGTCGACTCCTCATGTTTTCGGCTGCGACTTCCACGGCCTCCTCGTGGTTGTCGTCCTCGTCTTCATGGTAGTTGAGTCTGCATTCGGATTCTAGCGAATCGGCGAATGCTTCGGCTTTTTCTTCACTGAAGTAGGCCAAGCCACGTTGGCCGTGAAGAGTGGGGATCGTGGTGCGCTGACGACGAAATTTTCGCTGCATAGACCAGGCCGTACCATCCTGGGTCTCTAGTTCTGCACAGGCTGCATTCCATCTGCTGTTTTGGAGTTCCGCGAGTGCGTTCTTCAGAGCTAACGATGCTCTGTTTCGCGCAACTCTCGACTCCTCTGTCAACAGTTGGAGATGTTCTCGCTTGAGTCTTCTGTTCTCCCTGATCAGATGCCTAATATGGTGCGGTGCTGGACCATTTAGGTGTCTAGGAACTGCCGTAGTCTCGGAGCGGGTGCTGTCCTCATGCGCTCGCATTACAGCATTCTCCAGCTCCTCTACTGCGTTGTCCAGTTCCTCCGCTGATCGGATGGTTGGAATTGGAGTGATGTTCCTTTGGACGTTGGATTTGTACAGGTTCCAGTTCGTCCGTTTGGTGCTCAAGCTATCTCGAGTTCTAGACCCTGTGCCAAGTGTTAGTAGAATCGGATTGTGGTCCGACGATCCTTCCACCAGGGTCTCTATCTCGAACTCCTCTCTGATGTTGCGGAGGATGGCTATGTCCAGTACCGCAGGTCGCCCAAGGCCGAATGGAATGTAGGTTGGTTGCTCCGGACCGACGATGACCCCCGCCAGGGCATCGACGTGTTCCTGGAGCTGCCTTGCATTCCTGTCTTCGACGTTGTTGTTCCATGCCGGAGACTTGCAGTTTAGATCTCCGATGACTATGCGTGCTCCTGGGCCTCTCAGGAGGTCAGCGATGTCATCTTCGTCTAGGGCCTCCCCTGGTGGCACATATAGGGAGGTGATTCTGTAGGGACGGTGGTTGTGATGGACCTGGACCGTGATTCCGTCCCCATTTATGTCTGCGGCATCGTCGAGGACATGACTCGTCAAGGTACCTTTGACGAGTAATGCGACTCCTCCACCTCTGCCCCTTCTGTCGTAGCGGTACGTCTCGTACCGCGGGAACGTCAGACTATGGGCAGCATCCAATTTCGTTTCTTGGATGGCCATCACCTCTGGTTGGTACTGGTCTAGTATCTCCTGGATTTCTGGTTTCCGTGCCCTGAATCCGTTGATGTTCCAGGAGATAATGCGTAGAGATTCTACGTTTTGCCCTGTAGTCATTTCGGGTCTAATGCTTTTCTTGCATCTTGGCCTCGAGTGCATCCAGGCGGGTTATGATGGCTTGCATCATTGCTAGCAGTCTGTCATCGCCGTGTTGCTTCTGCGCAGTAGTTCCAGTAGCAGTGGCGGCTGCTGGGGCAGAAGTAGACATAGGTTTCTTCGCTTTTTGAGCGTAAGAAGTCCTATTTGTGGTGGGGACTGCTTTGGGGGTAGAAGCAGCTTTCTTCGGGGCCTTACTACATCCCTTGTAGTTGGCGGGGTGGCCTTCTCCACAGAGGCAACACTTGGCGTTTCGTTGCCCTGTTGGCGGCGCTGGCAGACTGCAGCTGGTGCTGTTGTGGTCCTCTCCACACTTAACGCACCGTTCAGCGAGACGGCAGTTCCGCTGTGTGTGCCCGTACCGCTGGCAGCGGTAACATTGGCTGGGCTCGGAAGACTTTTTCTTCCTCTCGAAGCTGACCGTGAGCATGGCCAGCCTCTGGATCTCTGCAAGCTTTTCCGGCATCTTCGTCTTGACGAGGAAGAGCGGAAGTGGCTTCTTTGTGGTCCTTGAGGTCATCTGCTGAACCTCGGCGTCTGCGATGCCTTGGCTCACTAGATCCTCTTTGATGTCATTGACTGACATCTCCCTGGGAAGCCCACGAATGACCCTCTGGTCCATCCTGTCCTCCTTCAGTTGATAGGTGAAGAAGGGCCGCTTGATGGAATCCAGCAGTGCGACTAGCTGACGGTAGTCAGCTGGTGTATTTGTGAATACCTTCACACTGGTACCCGCCGTCCTCGCCTTGGAGAATTGAATCCCCTTGCTGTTCATCATCCTGCTTAAGGATGACCAATCAGCGGTGCCCTCGATATTGATTGGCGGAACTCCTGTTCCTGCCATGGGGGGCACGATGGTCCTGGCTGCTCTAGGACTCTTCTTGGTGGCAGCAGCTGGCATCTTTGGCTGCCTTGGTGACTCATCTTCGGAGGAGGAAACTCGCACCCGCTTCCTCCGTCTGGTGGCGACACTGAAATCGTTGTCGTCCGTCCTCATCTCGGCTTCTTCTTCTAGTCCTTCGGTCCGTTGAGTGCCCTCTTCTTGGGCGTCCATCTCGTCCGACGTAGCCTGGTGGTCCTCTTCCTCCTCTTCTCCTGTCTTCTTTGCGGCCTTCTTCTTGGCCCTGCGGAGCTTCCCGCTCAGGTCCTCGATCTCCTGTCTGGCCTGCAAGAAGGCTTCTTACAGGTTTCGCATCTGCTCTTCCAGCATGGCGAAAGCATCCTTCTTTTCTTTCAGCTGGTTAACCAGCTTCTCAATTTTTGCCATCGTAGATGGCAAACAACCAATCTATCGCAATGAAAATTGCAATAAGATTGCTCAATATGTCCGGGTGGGTCGCAGTCGCACAAGTGTATGCTCGTGACGGCTGCTAGCTCGGCTTGAACTAAATACAACATAGCCTACCCTATCCAGGTCTCTCTCTTTCTCTCTCTCTCTTTCTCTCTCTCTCTCTTTCTCTCTCTCTCCCTCTCTCTCTCTATATATATATATACATAATGACTTACTGTACTGAGCGGGAAACACTTTTAATATTCCACGACAATAATAAGATACGATATTAAAAATGTGCTATAGAAAATGTGACGTAAAAAATGCATAAAAACTGCTAGCGCTCCACACCAAACGGTAGTTATACGTTTTTTTCGTGTGACAAAAATAAGCAGCATATCCTCTGTAATTCTCATCACATCTCATTTAATAGCGCTTGCTGGCAGAGCCAGCAGCTTTATGCTGGCAGTATTTCACCCTTTCCCGTGGTCTTTGGCATCGTCACAGCATATTTAAAACATACCGAGTATAACAAAAGTAGCGGAATGGATTTGTAGTATTTCAGTTGAGGTATTTTTAAAAAGGTAAAGGTCAGGTCTTTGCTAACTTTAATGTTGACTTTCGGTCTGACCTTGAACTCGACCATCAAGACTTTTCACAATTAACTTTCGTTTTTTGGATGGAAAGCGCCCTTTTTAACACCGGCATGTGGCAATTGAAAGAAGGGAGAATTCTACCGCCGAGTGTGTATTGAAATCCAAGTTCAAGGCCACCTCTGAAGGTCAAATGAACGTAAAATGTTTGAGGCTAGGGTGAATACCTAGAAGTTTATCAATATTATTTATGAAAGAGTCAAGGCTAGACCTTTAGCAAAGTATTAACAAGGATTTCAATGTTGACGTGATGTTATCCATTGACGGTGTCAGGCACAGGGATGACAGTTCAAACAAAAGTTGACCTTACAATTACGTGTGAGTGAGGTGAGTGTTTAGATCGAATCCAACGACACCATTGAAATCCTTGTTGAAGGTTTCAAGTGCCTATCATCGATAATAATTGTTTTCGCTTGCGGTTACAAATGATGGTGATAACGTCTGATCCTGGAAGAGATCGTTGGATGTCCACAGTTTAAATAGCAAAGTACAAGTAGCATTTTTCTACGTATTGCCCATTCAATCAGTATCTTTTTGCGCAGTTTCCAGATTCCTAAAAGCAAGTGCTTATGTGATAGACTTGAGACTGGGAGCAAAAGATATCTAAAAAAATTAAAAGTAGTTGGAAACAATAAAATCAGGATAGCGGCCATCACGATCGCCTGGAAGCGATTGTGATAGTTTCTGATACTGGAAGAAAATTTTATATGTCCACAGCTCAGATACCAGTGTTTGAGTTATAATACTGAGCAATTGTAGAGGTCAGCAAAATGGAACACTTAATAAAAAACTAGCATTCTTTGTCTCATTCCATCTTTTTGGATTTGCAATTCTCATAATTTTGTGTCAATTCCTGTAAAGAAATTATCGCTTATGGTGGATTAGTTGGAATGGTTTCAAAAATATAAAAGAGACACATGTAGTATACTAATAATACAAACCTACGGTTGTTAACTCATTAAAGATTAATTACTAATTTGGGTAAAAAAGCTATTTTCTTTTTTACGAAAAAGTGATTTAAGTGAAAATCCACTCAAGCAGATACTCGAATGCGAAGATCAAATAGAGTATTTTTATTGGTCAGGTCATATAAAGTTGATGCAAGTCGCTAACCAGATATGAAAATACATATAGTGAATATGCTCAGCAATTTTCATGAACTGGTTTGTAATATGAGTATAAAGTTATATTTTTGCATCCTCGTATAGATTTATTTCTTCGGAGAATCTTGGAGCCGTTAGTGAATAACAAGTTAAACGGTTCCATGAAAGTATTACAATTATTATAGAGAGCAGATCTCCAAGAAGTTGAGGCACAAACATGACAGTAGACTACTGCTCAACGTTCAAGAGAGCTGAACAAGAGAAACGTACAAGAAACAAGTTATACAAGAATTTTGATGGAAGTAGAAAAAGTTACGATAAGCCATTTGATTCAAAATAGTTTTAATGACGATTGGTCAAAAATTCTAAAATACGCAAATCTTCAATAAAACTAAAACTCAACGTTCTAGGAAAGGAAAATCAATGTCTTTTGGCTTCACATACATAGTTACTTAAAGATATAGGACAACCATTGAAAGGGGAAAATAAAAGTCAAATTTCGCAGGCCTCTATTGTATGTGGTCCAGAGTAAGCCCAGTCTGTCGATAGCAGTGCCACATATTTCACAGATGCGACAGCTACTGTCGGTCCCTTTGGTCTTCGTGCTTGAAGCGTTTCCTACCTTATTCCGTAAACGTCCGCAGGAACTTTTCTCAGTGGTGACTACGCTTAATTTGTTTGACGTCACGAATATCATACGTTAAACTACAGAATCAAGGAATTTATCATTTGCCCACATAGATTTACGTAAGACAATCTTTGGAGAGCTCTTTGTATTGCATATAACAAAAAAAAAACAGTAGAAGTAAATTGATTATCCATTGATGTCACAGTAACAGTTGACAGCAGCGGAAATCTGACTAAACGCATAGGACTTAAGTTGGCGTTAACAGAACCTGGTTTTTGACAGGCTGTCGCCTCTGATAGTACTCTATGGCAGTGCTCTCAGTACATGTGGCCACTGTGTGCGGAGCAGGATCCGGATAGGCAGACGAGTCGGGGCTCCCCATTATACGTGCACCAGACAGACAGGATAACGGGACAATGTACGCGAACGGCCAGGACATAAATCCGGGACAATGCCGACGCCGGAAGCAGTCCGGAAGCGCTGTGAATATCCCACCGGCCTCTGTACTGCGCCCTTTATCTACAGGGTTTGCTGTTAAGTGGAAAATAGGAATTATTTTTATTAATATATCTGCCTCCAAGGGAACGTTAGGTGCAAATTGCTACTAGACAATAAAACATTTAGTGAAAAATTCCAAAATTTGGTCTCGGGGAGAGCGACGTGTATAGTGGTTGTAACTGACCCGAAAAGGGTACTATCATCTGATTGATAGTGAAATAAAGACGGAGTCTGTATGGAGGAATCTGTGTCATGTGTTTGTCAGACAAAAAGAGAGTTTTAAATTTGAAATTAAAATGGTTCCTAACCTGAAATTGCCTGAATGTTTGTTAATTTCATCAATATCCAGTCACAAATATTCCGGTCTTATATCTGCTAAGTTGTGCTGTCACCTCATCTCCTGCGAATATTTCATTTTGAAGCTTCGTTTTTGTTTTTCGTGCTGTCAGGGGAACCACTGACTATGAAACAAGTGGAAAGAGATTCAGATAAGCCGACTTCCACCAACTTTTTCAAATGACAAGACATTTGGTGGTATATTATGCGCTGAGCAACTTGTACACAATAAGTTGTAACAAATAAAGTATTGGCAACGCATGACTCACAAAGAAGCTTTGCAGATGAGTGGCTGACTTCCTCTCTGGTCACAAGATATCCGTAGTAATTAAAAGGCTCTCCTCTTCATCCCACAATGTTCATCGGTCCTCTTACATTTGAACGACCTCCTTTCCTATACGATTAATCCGGTCCATAGCTTTATTAATAATAATAATAATGATAATTCATTAGGATTACTACAAAAATGTATTTCCATACGTCAAAAAGAAATATATGCTAAAAAGGCATGTCTGTCTTGAGGGGTATTTAGAAAACAATCCAAATTCAAGAATAATAAACTATAAAATTTACAGACCTACAGACAAAGCGCAAAAGCGAAACACGGTGAAATGAATAAGGACATTGACACAGCCGCAAATGCGAAGAAATAAATATAAGCACACAAGCGGAAAAATGAGGCAGGGTAAAATAAATAGTGAAAACTAACACATGCGAAAACGCGTCATACGAACATTTACAAAAGCATATCAACAAAGTTATTTGTCAAATACTCATCAATACAGAAGACTGCTTTTATTAGGTAGTCTTTGAGTTTTTTGTAGAAAGCATCAATCAGGTTTTGGCAACACGTTAAAAAATATGGCGACTATCATCTCTATTGCGAGTTTCGTAAGAGTGAAGATCACTGTGAGTGGAGAAGAGTCTACAACTGCCTTTTACGTACAGCAAGCAGCTCAAAATATAAGTGCATGGTAGAATCAATATCCCCCATTTGACGAATTCAGTCTTGTACGTCTATATTTCATGACCGAAATGTAGCAGATACATCGCCTTTGCTGATGACAGCACTACACATGAAGGAATTCAGAGTGACAAGTCGACTTCGTTCAGTGAACTGGAGAAAAGACTAGCAGCAACTTCCTCTCTGACGAGAGACCTGATGGTTATCACTGCTTCTGGCTTAAAAAGACTAAACTTCACTAGTTAGCCTGCAGAATTATAAAAGATTTCCGTTTATATCAATAGGCATATTGAGTGCATTGTCATACGTTTAGCTATTAAAGAACCTTCATAAGAACATTTTGAATAGATCATAAGATGTCCTATATTAATGTTGCAGGCCAATGAATCGGG